GGATGATGGATGGCTATGGATCATGGCTATGCATGGTTCTGGATGGCTATGGATGGTCCTGGATGACTATGGATGACTATGGATGACTATGGATGGCTATGGATGGTCCTGGATGACTATGGATGACTATGGATGACTATGGATGACTATGGATGGTTCTGGATGACTATGGATGGCTATGGATGGCTATGGGTTGTTCTGGATGACTATGAATGAGTAAGGATGACTATGGATTTGTTCTGGTTGACTATGGATGACTATGGATGACGATGGATGGTTCTGGATGACTATGGATGACTATGGATGACTATGGATGACTATGGATGAGTGTGTATGGTTCTGGATGACTATGGATGGTTCTGGATGACTATGGATGACTATGGATGACTATGGATGACTATGGATGACTATGGATGACTATGGATGGCTATGGATCATGGCTATGCATGGTGCTGGATGGCTATGGATGGTTCTGGATGACACTGGGTGACTATGGATGAGTAAGGATGACTGTGGCTGGGTCTGGATGACTATGGATGAGGATGGATGACTATGTATGGTTCTGGGTGGCTATGGATGAGTATGGATGGTTCTGGATGACTATGGATGGTTCTGGATGACTATGGATGACTATGGGTGGTTCTGGATGACACTGGATGATGGATGACTATGGGTGGTTCTGGATGACTATGGATGAGTAAGGATGACTATGGATGGTTCTGGATGGCTATGGATGACTATGGATGACTATGGACGACTATGGATGGCTATGTGTGGTTCTGGATTACTATGAATGAGTAAGGATGACTATGGATTGTTCTGGTTGACTATGGACGACTATGGATGACGATGGATGGTTCTGGATGGTTCTGGATGACTATGGATGACTATGGATGACTCTGGATGACTATGGATGACTATGGATGGTTCTGGATGACTATGGATGGTTCTGGATGACTATGGATGACTATGGATGACTATGGATGGTTCTGGATGACTATGGATGACTATGGATGACTATGGATGACTATGGATGACTATGGATGGTTCTGGATGACACTGGATGACTATGGATGGTTCTGGATGACTATGGATGAGTAAGGATGACTATGGATGGTTCTGGATGACTATGAATGACTATGGATGACTATGGATGAGTGTGTATGGTTCTGGATGACTATGGATGACTGTGTATGGTTCTGGATGACTGTGTATGGTTCTGGATGACTATGGATGGTTCTGGATGACTATCGACGACTATGGATTGGTCTGGATGACTATGGATGACTATGACTGGTTCTGGATGACTATGGGTGGTTCTGGATGACTATGGATGACTATGGGTGACTATGGATGACTATGGGTGACTATGGATGGTTCTGGATGACACTGGATGATGGATGACTATGGATGAGTAAGGATGACTATGGCTGGTTCTGGGGGACTATGGATGATGGATGGCTATGGATCATGGCTATGCATGGTTCTGGATGGCTATGGATGGTCCTGGATGACTATGGATGGCTATGGATGGCTATGGATGACTATGGATGACTATGGATGACTATGGATGACTATGGATGACTATGGATGACTATGGATGGCTATGGATGGCTATGGGTTGTTCTGGATGACTATGGATGAGTAAGGATGACTATGGATTTGTTCTGGATGACTATGGATGACTATGGATGACTATGGATGACTATGGATGGTTCTGGATGACTATGGATGACTTTTGTTTGATTATGGATGACTATGGATGGTTCTGGATGACACTGGGTGACTATGGATGAGTAAGGATGACTGTGGCTGGGTCTGGATGACTATGGATGAGGATGGATGACTATGGATGACTATGGATGACTATGGATGACTATGGATGAGTGTGTATGGTTCTGGATGACTATGGATGACTATGGATGGTTCTGGATGACTATGGATGACTATGGGTGGTTCTGGATGACACTGGATGATGGATGACTATGGGTGGTTCTGGATGACTATGGATGACTATGGATGACTATGGATGACTATGGATGGTTCTGGATGACTATGGATGAGTAAGGATGACTATGGATGGTTCTGGATGGCTATGGATGACTATGGATGACTATGGATGATTATGGATGACTATGGATGGTTCTGGATGACACTGGGTGACTATGGATGAGTAAGGATGACTATGGATTGTTCTGGTTGACTATGGATGACTATGGATGACGATGGATGGTTCTGGATGGTTCTGGATGACTATGGATGGTTCTGGATGACTATGGATGACTATGGATGACTCTGGATGACTATGGATGACTATGGATGGTTTTGGATGACTATGGATGACTATGGATGGTTCTGGATGACTATGGACGATAATGGATGACTATGGATGGTGGATGACTGAGGATGACTACAGATGACTATGGATGACTGTGGATGATTTTGAATGACTATGGATGACTATGGATGGTTCCGGATGACTATGGATGAGTAAGGATGACTATGGATGGTTCTGGATGGCTATGGATGACTATGGATGACTATGGACGACTATGGATGGCTATGTGTGGTTTTGGATTACTATGGATGAGTAAGGATGACTATGGATTGTTCTGGTTGACTATGGATGACTATGGATGACGATGGATGGTTCTGGATGACTATGGATGGTTCTGGATGACTATGGATGACTATGGATGGTTTTGGATGACTACAGATGACTATGGATGACTGTGGATGATTTTGAATGACTATGGATGACTATGGATGACTATAGATGACCACGCATGATTGTGGACGATTATGGATGACTATGGATGGTTCTGGATGTTTCTGGGTGACTATGGATGACTGGATGAACCTTGTCACTGTTTTTGTCGGCTCTGTCCCGTTTATTCTCGTGTGTTTTTTCGTTGAGCTGGCAGGCCTACGAACTTCACATGCGCACAGGCACAGACCTTTTGACTCCCCTGTGACCAAACTCTTGCTTGTGCACGTCAGCACGGTCGTTGGAAATGAACACATCCCGGGCCTTTTGACATGTCTGTAATGATACAAGATATTCGTGCTGTGCACCATTGAACAATGAAACTGATGAACTTTACAACCCCCAAGTTCTGTTTGCAGTTTTGCTCATGCTTTCAATAGCGCCATACTTTGAGTCGCCTTCCAACCCCAAAGTCATTCAACCCCGTCCTCAACTTTCGCGTGAAGCTGCTGATGAAACTGTCGTTGGGTGAGGTTCTTGGTATTTGAGTTTTCTGCAAGTGCTCCTGCGGTCTAATGCATTCGCAACTTGTCCAATAAATCAAAGAGACACTTGAGGATCTTTTGGCAGTTTGGATCGTTTGGATCCTTTGCTTGACCAGTATTGAGCCATACCCATGATACCTCCCCAGGGAATTTCGCTGATGCTATTTACGTTGATTCATCCAAGACCTCTAAAGTTTCCAGATGATGCTTTTGCGCGCTTTTGCGTGCTTTTGCAAATCAGCGAGTCGACCTCGCAGTGCAGTTCGACCTGTTTGAAAATCAGTTCGAATTTTGTGCAATTGCACTTTGGAATTCTGATTGTACTTTTGTCTCGTCTGAAGATTTGCTTCGCGCCTTGCTTCAGGAAACGGCCTTGGAGTCTTGTGCGAAGCAGCCAGCCTTAAGGGAGGCTTTATCGCCAGGCGCCCGACGATTTCCTGCACGCTTTGTTTGACCCATCGCTGTTTTGGCATTTGGGCTCTATAGGATTCTCGAAGTCTATTGTGGTCCAGCTTTGTATCATGGTGCTGTAGGGTCGACAAACATGTCATGCTGGAAGCTGACATGTTGCTGAGCGGCAGCATTTGTAATTGTGGTTAGACATCCGAAAAGAAAGAAGCGGATGCATACGAACACCTTTTGTTTGCTTATGATTTTCATTCACGTGCCTCAAGGTCTCGTTCAGTGGAACCAGAGGTCATGGAAGTGTCCAAGTCTTTTGTCCCGGGCTGTTGGCCAGGAAAAGTGCCTCGGTTGTGCACGCGAAAAACAACTCACTTGTGCACGCGGATGATGATGATGATGATGATGATGATGATGATGATGAGGATGAGGATGAGGATGACGACGACGACGACGACGACGACGCCGCCGACGCCGACGCCGACGCCGACGACGCCGCCGACGCCGACGCCGACGCCGACGCCGACGCCGACGCGCCGACGACAACGCCGACGACGACGCCGACGCCGACGCCGACGCCGACGATGATGACGATGATGATGCTGATGCTGCTGCTGCTGATGATGATGATGATGATGATGATGGTGATGATGATGAAATGAAGATGATGACGATGACGATGACGATGGTGGTGGTGGTGATGATGATGATGATGATGATGATGGTGATGATGATGATGATGAGGAAGTTGAGAAGCGGTTGTGCCCCTATAATAATGAAGTCAAGCAAGGGGTGTGGCTGGTAGATCCTACCCTTTTCTTGCCTAGCCCCACCCCACCTCCCAAGGTTGAAGTGTAATGGTAAGTTGAAGGAAGTCGAGTAGGGGTTGTGTCCCTATAATCAAGTTAAGCAACGGGTGTGGTGTGGCTGGTAGATCCTACCCTTTTCTTCCCTAGCCCCACCCCACCCCCCAAGGTTGTGTGTACAAGTGAGTCAATTTTGTGTGTACAACTGGGTCAAAAATCTGTGTGTACAACTGAGTCAGTCTTGTGTGCGCAAGTGAGTCGCTTACCGTTGGCCAGTGCCAAGCCTGCTAAGTTCAACAACATCTGTCAAACTATTTGTACTGAACTGAAAGGAACCAATGCTTCTTCGCAGCTTCTGGAGCAAAGCCGCGCACTACGTCAGGACAGGGACATGTAGAAAAATGGGAAATTGGTTTAGCCAAAACCCTGCTTCGTTTGGAGTTTGCATCATAATTAATCATAACAATTCAGTCTTTTTTGACTTGAACTCAGACAACAGTCTGTGAACTGCTGAGCCTTGCTCTGGAGGCTTTGCACAGCATGGCAGAAAAACTTCTGCTGCCAGGGGCATTGGAAGTATGGCCATCTTTGTGACGTGGCGTGATTTGGATTTCTCATATTCTTAGTTCGTTCTTTGTGGAAAGCAAGAAACCCGAAGAATGCAACAGGTGCAAAACAGCAATCTGTATACACGTCGTTCGCTGGTATATATAAAGATACACGTAAGCACAGCTTATATAATTAGTCGTACTTGGAGAGTGTTCTCAAAGGTCATGGAATTTTGGTCCGAAGTATCTGAGGCTTGATGCTCTTCTTACTGATACATCCGAGACAGCACCTTTGCCGTGGGATGCATGGGCGAGACGTTTGATCACCGCACTGAAACGTCCGTGGCAACTCGCTTGCTACGTTCTGTCGCTGTCGCGCTGGTGAACTCTTGTTGGATTTTGCATTTTCTGAAATCAAAACTGTCACAATGTGGATCCTGTGACTTTTATGACTTTGCCTTAGGTCGATGATTTAATCATGTCTAACACGTCTTTCGGAACTGTTCTTTGGGCCTGTTTCGTCACGACCTGTTCGCGTTGTGCCATGAGGCAAAACGAAGCGCTGTGGCCTCAGCTCTGGCGCTGGGACGGCAAGGCGGCCGAGCTCGTGGAGGCGCAGACCGAGCACTTCCTGAAGTCACTTCCTGGCCCATTCGTGGCCTTAAAATTCTTGTTTGCCGCAGTGTTCAAGTCTCGGATCAGCCACGTCATTGCTTTATATCAAGTCTCGAGTCAAAATCAAGGGCCTTCAGCGATGTCAATTGAAGCTGTCATATTCCCAAGTCGGTCTTGTGGAACTAGGGAAATGTCAGAGATATCAAGAGATATGTTCAGAAGGAAGAAGTGAGGCGATGCACATTGTTTTTTTTAATCTATGATCTGTGTGAAGACAAGAGCAGCCGAAACTGAAGCTGACCATTTCGACTTGTTTGTAACCGAAGCCCTGGAATGACCATTGGCATATATGGCATGCCATTGGCATCCGTGGCTTCCGGGAGCTGAGAAACAGTTCCACAATGTTTCACAGAGTTCCACAGTTCGACAACTCGACCATCTCAGCTTGTCAGGCACATCAGGAGGGTGCTGGTGCAGCTGCAGCTCTGAAAGGTGGAGGCGCGGGAATCGAGAAAGCACACTGAGGAATCACCGCGAATCATGGGGAATCACGTCACGGAATGTCCTGAAATCAGAGGCAAATGTGGCCTGGCATCAAAACAGCTCCAGCTCACACATACCAGATAATGATATATATATATATATATATTCAGTCAGATTCATGATATATTCCTAACATTTCCATGAATTTCCCGACACTAAGAATTGTCACCAGGGAACGGCAAGAGTGGATTTTCGACAGCAGCCTGACTGACACATATTGCCAGCACAAGAAGAAACAATCCCTGGATGGATTTGCCGCAGGTGCAAAACTCTCAAAGCAAGGGATCAGAGCAGAGATGACAAGAAGGCTGTGAACATCTGTGAACACTGAACAACTGTGGAAGTTTTGTATCTTGAATGACTTGCAGCGGATGTTCATATTTGGAGCTTTTCTTTTGAACATGTCAGTGCCACGTGCGACGTCTTGACATATCTTAGTCACATCCTAGAAATCTTTTGAATTCTAATGAATCTTATGAAATCTTATTACAATATCTTAACATGTCAGTGCAACATGCCAGTGCCTCTCTCTCTCTCTCTCTTTCTGACTTTTTCTCCTTGCAGGCGACTCCCGCAGTTGGCCTTGGAAGCGACTCGGCTTCGGCGCCGCACTGAGCTGCTGTGCCTCGGTCTGGAGGCCCTGAGGCGCGGCGGAAAATCGATGAAAATTGCTGACAAAGTAAGGACTTATCAGTATACAAGGATCAGATAAAGATCAGATAAGGATTAGATAAGGATCAGAAAATCAGAAAGGTTCCAACGGAGATTCCGATTCCGGTTAAGGGTCCAATTGAGATGCCTATCTCATGGACATGAAATGTATCTCAACCGTCATTGCAGCGCTCGTTGGAGGACTGTGGATGAGCAGAATGATGCTGGATCCAAAGAATCTTGGGCTGCGCACGAGTTTTTAGGGCATGGTATGGCATGGTGCAAGCTGTCTCATGAATTGGCGCAAAGGGCAATGATATGATATGATATGATATGATATGAACATACAGATAATGTGGGAACATGTGGGAGATGAAATGGATACTATGTATTGCATTGGCAAGGAGATCCAGCAGCTGATTGCAGATGCCGGGTTGGCTGTAGACTCGTTGGATAGTCGCTTGGTGGCAGGTCAAACGGCCAAGGACTGCAAGTGTATCGTAGCGAAGCTGTGAGGAAGCAAGTATTTCTAGCGAATCTAGGAAAAGATGCTGACAGAATGCATGTGCGCGACTGCGGTTCTCCCTGAGCCACGCCTGCAAAATCATTGTACGATTATCAGAGGCAATGATGATTGCTAGAATGACACTTCATAGTGCAAAGTTTGACCAGGTTTGCAAGTCGAAAGTCTAAAACCCTGGCCCATGACTCGTTAATCATCATCCCTTATCAGATTTATCAGTGCAGAATCCAAAACCTGAGCACTGATGACTCTGATGACTCTGATGACTCTGATGACTCTGATGACTCTGATGACTCTGATGACTCTGATGACTCTGATGACTCTGATGACTCTGATGACTCTGATGACCCAAACCGACCCCGTCAGTTCATGGCAGGTGGCCTGGAAGGCTCTGAGGCGCAGCAGAAGTCTCTTGGCCAAGCGCTAAGCGAGTGCAGCGGCGAGCTGCAACGACAGATGGCTGCCGTGATGCTCACCCAGGCGGCAGCCATGGCAGTCGTGGCAGTCGTGGTACGTGGTTGGTCTTTGATCCGTTCGGAAGTTGAATCGGTTGTTTGGGTCCAATTCGCAGTTCTGTTCATAGGATGTTCACGGGATGTTGCCGGAGTCCAAATTTTGGGGTTCCACTCCAAGCCGTGCGCAGAGGAGGCCTTCGTGGAGCGACGCGGAAGGCTGCAAGACGAGCGCGCCAACTTGCAGAAACGCATGGAGGTGGCCAGGGGGCAGACAGCAAGTCCGTCAGCCTGTCAGCATTCCTTTTTGCAAAGGTGTCTGATAGACTGATAGTGATGTTACTTGGAGTCCATCCGTGAAATCAAGGTGTTACTTGGAGCTTCAATTTCTCAATCGGCGTATGGACGGCAGGAACTGAACTCTGAAATCACCCAGCTAGATACTGAGGCGGGGTGGGACAATGCGAAGTTGTGTTAACCGGTCCTGCTTCCAGAAACCACGAGGGAGATGCGTCAAGAAATCACGAAATTGAGGGTGAATCAATCTCTTTACCAGTGGATCACTTGCGTTTTACGTGTTTCTTCTTGAAGTCAGGACGAACATATTATATGTTGATGATAAGGGTAAGTCTTAAGTCAAGGACAATTTAGATTTCTGCATGTGGCAGCTCAAACATAATTTCACAAAAGGTTGCCGGTCAGCACCTGTGAACGTCATGACTGAAATGTGTGGTCTCTTTAGCACATCAACTTTGAGCCCTGTTTCCGTTTGCCCTGTTTCAAGGGATGTATTAGCGTCAAGAAATTTTTCACAGAACCTGGCTCCGGCTCCAGCAGGTTCAGAGATGCAACCAGCAGGTGCAGCAGCTGCGGGCGCAATTCAGTCAAAACACCAGGCGATGGGCCGGACTCGGCTGAACTTTTTTTTTTACTGTTTCGCACTGTTTCTTGAAAGGATACCCGGAGAAAGTTTAAGAGTGAAGATGCGCAGGTTCTGTGCAATCTGGCTCAATTGGAGACGACCTGACCATGTCTCTGACGATTTTCCCTTTGCAGATGTTAGATTTTTTTAAGCATATTCTAAATATATTCTAAGTTTTTTTTTAGTACCGTGTTGTAGCCGCTTCAAGGAATTCAATGAATCGCTCCCCTGCAGTCACTATGATGGCCTCTTGGGTGGAAGTTCCAACATCGCAATGAAGCTCTGTGAGCGAAAGTCCAAGGCGCTCGGACAAAATGGACAAATAGAATGGATACAGCATGATGAATAGTAGGACAACATGATGGAACGGATAGGGATGGATAGGGAAATTGCAGAAACCGAGATGTTTGTGATGCAGAACATGGGAAAAATATGGAAAGAATCGTGGTTTGAGGCCTTGAGGCATGGAAGATCAAAAGAATTGGGCATGTGCGGAGACTTTTTGAAGCTAGAATCATCGTCTACAGTCCTCAGATGTTGGATAAACATGGATAAACATGGTCAGTGCATATCACTGCTCTCAGTGACCTCGGTTTAAGTCCGGCAGGCTGGTGCTTTCAGGGCTTGTGCGCAACGAGCTCTGAGCCTGGCGAAAGCCGCTGAGGCCAACGTCAGTACGCTACACTTGTGACAGGAACGTTGACGACATGTTTTTTCCAAAATGTATGAAATCGCTGTGGAAGAAATAGATTCAGTATGAAGTATGAAAGCAATCTCGACAAAGTAAGCTTCACATAGTTACATAGTTTCAAGGTTCACAACTTGACTTCCTTCGGTTTGGTGTCAGGCTCGTCGACGCCCGGAACTCCAAGCACAGAAGCAGCGCCGGCAGCTGCAGCTGAACCGCCAGACGTCTGTCTATGTGAAGCAGGTGGGACGTGAAACCGAACATTCAGCAGAAATCAACATGTCATGCCCGATTCGAATCAACAAAATCGAACAACGATTCAACGGGTCAGACAGAGACACCTTCGGCACAGCAGGGCCATTCAGAGGGCAGAAAGGCCTAGGAAGCATGTGGTTGAGTGAAAGTAGGCCAAAGAAATCCAAAGAATATAATGGATATAATGGGAATGTATGGGAATGTCATGGAATGTAGGTAGTGGAGTCGTTTGCAAATTTGCGTCGCCTCTTGACCAATGGAGCTGCCTTGCGCCAACACAAGGAGAGAATGAGGCTCAGCGCCACAGCAGACTGTGCAGAAGCGGAAGGAGGCTAGACTTTCCACGTCTTTGAGCAACTTTGAAATCTAGTATCGAAAAATATCGAAAATCCGGGGTATCAAAGTTTCACCGCAACGCACCTCTAGAGTCAGAGGAGTCCCTGTCTTTGCGGAGTGCTGAGCATGTTGAGTTTGGAGCTGGATCCGTTTAGAAGAGATTCTTTGAACGCAACTTGTTCGGGAAGCTTTGATGATTAACCTAAGGTGACAGTATTAATTACATTTCACGATTGTTTCGGATTGTTTCGTGGTCATTGGCTCGTTATGTCTTTTCGGATATAGTTCAGATATGTTCAGATCCTTCAGGTGAGGCTCAAGACCTTCCGGAGCTCACCGCTGCGGCGCAGGAGGTGCCTCCAAGTTGTGCGGCCGGACAAAACTTGTCCGACGATCTGCACGAGTTTCCATGACAGGATTAAGTCGGTGTGGAATCTTTGCACAATGTAAACACACTGTAAACACACTGTAAATATGTTAAAAAAAGGTAAATATCATAAATATCATTAGATCTTCATAGCTGTCACGTGTCGCCACTATTACCACGCAGACATGGCGCGCCGCACAAGCTCTGCTTCAACGGGTTGATGGCCTGGTGGAGCACAAGATGGTAGAGGATTGGAAATGGAAAGATGAAAGCAGATGAAACGGATGAAACCAGGGCTGATTTTGTTGAAGTCTTCTGAGTTGATTTTGACTTGGGGATCACGGAGAGTGAGAAGCATGTGCTTTGTCTTTGAGAGTCTCATTTGGTGGGTGTTCGGCTGGTCCAAAAGACTGAGTCTACAACACCTGCAGATCACTGCATCGGAACGGTGTTTCATGATGTTTCATGTTTCTCCGAATGTTTCTTATATTTCGATATATTTCGCATTCACTCATTTTCGTCCAGGTCAACATGGAGACAGAGGCTGCAGTAAGCACTGCGGATACTGATCAGCAGATATCGGCAGTTTTTGCGAATTTTGGACGGTTTACGGCGTATTACGGTGCTTGTGGCATCTTGTGGCATCTTGAAGGCTGTGATTTCCCGACTTCCATGCTGCGCCAAGGATGCTGAGAACTTCTTCTTGCATGTGGCGCAGCGAAAATGTGCAGATTGCGGGGCGGCTGCTGAATGGGCCTCAGTCTCGTATGGCATCTACCTCTGTGCCCTGCCAGAACTTTGGCCGTGCCTTCACTCGGACAAAACACTTTGCATTGGTCAATGGTCTTTCTGAGGAGTCTGCTAAGACTATCTACTATACTAGTAGGACTATAGTCTATAGGAGTGTAAGATTAGAAAGTCACAATTGGTCCAGAAAGTCGGTTCTAGATGTTCTTAGCATAGTAGAGGTGTATATATATAGTGTATAATGATGTATATAGTCATATATAGTGTAAGTGTCATGTATAGTGGAGTTAGTAACTTGGTTCGTTTTTCATCTTCGTGGCGAGGTGTGGACTGTGCAGGGCAGCACCGTGGCCTGGGCGTCCACGTGAGCTTCGTGCGAAGCCTCGCAATGGATCGGTGGACGCCTACACAGCTGCGGCGGATGGTCTCTTGTCATCTCTTGTCATCTCTTGTCATTGTTCATTCTCTTTGGATGTTTTTACCACATCGTCGAACCATACCCCAGTGTAGGATCCTTATTTGAACATCAGCAAGATGCTCTATTTTTCTCCTTGTTTTCATAGCGTTTGGGATTGGGGTCCGCTAGGCGTTTTTCGCTTTTTTCAGATTTTTCTCCTTTTACTCATTTCCTCACTTTTCTCCTTTTTCTCACTTTCTCCTTTTTCTCATTTCTTTTTTTTTCAATTTTCTCAGTTTTATCAGTTTTCTGTAGTTTTCTCATTTTTGTTATTTTTGTTATTTTTCTCAGTTTTCTATTTTTTCTGTTTTTTTTTTTAAATAAATGTTTTTTTTCACATTTTTCCTCATTTTCTCTAGCAATGGCACTTGCGCAGCGACTAGGTATACATTCGCATGCACACTCATCTCAACTCTTGCAACTTCTTTGGATTTGAAAGAGAAGTTTGTGAGTAGTTCAGACTTCAGACTGTTCAGATTAAATCTTTTCGCTTAAATGTTTCAAATTCGATCCTCAAAGGAATTGGGTGGCACGGAGCGCTTTTTGGAGTTCCTCTCTGGGTATCCTCAGCTTGTCGGTCGGCCACGTCTGGCTCTGAGGTCAGAATGTGAAACACCAAGGACAATCTGTAGATGTGAAACAATATCTTTCTTTAACGCACAGACACATTACATATGGACTATTCATATATAAATCAAACAGTTAAAAAAAGAAGACATATTTGAATAGATAAAAACAGACAAATCATAGATTTTTGACATGGAAATTCATTACATTCCTTTTTTATGCGGTAGAAATGTGGGAGTCGAGGTGCTGAGCGCTACGCATCGAAGGCAGCAAGTTTCTACAAGCGTCGCCTTGACGCAGAAGTGGCGGGTCAAACCTACGAAGAGCCACCGGATGAAAAGGAGGCCAAGCATAGCACAAGCCATAGCCACGAAGAAATGAAGTGCACAGAAACTATCAGAGACTAGCTTGGCATTCGCAATAATTAGCATGTATGCCTCAAGTATGCCTCATGTATGCCTTATGTATGCTTTGCTTAGCCAGCGTAGTTTTTTGCATTTGTGTGTTCACCACACTGATCAACATCAGGCTGCGTGGACTGCTACCTCGCAACCGTCATTGGTGTGTGAGGAAGTGGATGCAGAAGGTGGCAATTCAGACGCGTGCGGACTTGATACGTTTGATACGACTGAACTGAGCGGTGTGCATGCAGCATTGCGCGAGGAAACAAAGACAGCTTGACTCAGTTTGTAGGCTTGACATGTCTAAGTCACTAGTGAGACGTAGGATTACCGTAGGATCTTGTAATCGTTTGTAGGCTAGATATGAAACATGGCACATACCCGCTCAGATAGTTCGCTTGAAACGGAGCGGGCGCAGTTGGAGGTGCGGAGCTCGAATCAGACTTGTGAAAGTTAGGCGCTTTGAGACTTTGTGCATTCCAATCCTTCCAATCCTTCCAATCCTTCCAACCCTTCCAACCCTTCCAACCCTTCCTACCCTTCCAACCCTTCCAACCCTTCCAACCCTTCCAACCTTTCCAACTATACTCTGGCGCTTTTACTCCGGATGTTGCTTGGCTAAGATCAGATGGCACAGCACTTTCAATGGCCAATAGCCTGGTCTTGGAAGGCCACTTTCTTGGAGCTTCAGGGCAAGTTGCAGGCAGCGCTGATGCCAAGCATTTGAGGCAGGGCATGGCAGGGCAGAAGGCAACCAAGAAACTGCTTGTGGGGCAGGTTGCGACCAAGGACATGCAGCTATGTCAGCTATGTCAGCTATGTAAGCTATGTGTCAGCTATATAGCAGCTATATGTGAGATTTGGAATATATAAAATTATATATATATATATATATCCACGTGTCTAAGGTGTTCTTTTGATTTGGATTTCTCCGTGAAACAATGTCCTAACTTTTCGTCAACAACTAGAGTCCAGCAAGGCTTGTGGGCATCGTGCAATTGTTAATTTTCAGGGTGGTCGACAAAGTCGTGCGACCATCAGCTCCTAGATCAGCTCGTAGATGATTTGGCCAGGTGCAAAGCAAAGCAGTACTGGAACAGGGCGAGAGCTGTACATACATTCTGAGCGGGTTGGAAAGACCGATGACATCCGATGACATTTTGTCGATGCTTTAAAATCACAGTGGGGACGATATGTTAGGAAAAAAAACGTGACAAAGAGACCTGGTTCAAAAGGTTTGTCCAACCCAGGCACGGACACCATCAGCTATGACTCAAACACAGAGTCTGGAGAGCGTTTCGAGTGTTCGAGGCTTTACACGTGTCAAAACCAGTCCGACAGACGGATCCTGTGCAAATTGCCGTGGAAGCTATGACAAACCTGTGGAGAACCTGTCTTCGACTTTTGGACTCTTGATTTGTGCTAGGACTTTGATGCTCAGATAGCTCCACTTGAAGCTGAAATCGCCAAACACTTGGGGCCCACGAAGCCAAGGTCCCAACTGGGGGGCGAAAGATGACAGATTTGTCCTGGAAAGCATTTTTGACAGCGACACCACTGAACATGTGTCTCGTTTTGTTCACGACCCTCCCACAATCTCAACAGACACATACCATGGGCATGGGCCACCAGAAATCCTTTCAAAGCGGATGCTGTGCATGAAATGGAGTGAGTTCCAATGAGTTCCAGCGAATAGTTGATAATATGTGTGACATTGTGTGACATCTTGTGACTCAGATGCAAGGTGTGTGAGAGAACTCTCAGCTGAAAATGGCTGCTACACTGCCAGATCACGCTTGCGTTTCCGACACGTTCCAAGCTGCCTATGCCGCACACTGCGGAGCCTTAAGGACGAAACACTGGACAGTCAAAGCGGATGCAGAAGGAAACTGGGAGATCTGGGAACAAAGCGGTTTTACAAAGGAAATTAAAATATTTAAAGGAATTTCTTAAGGACGAAACAAAGAGCTTTAAGAGCTTTTACAAAAGACAAAGACTTTGCACAAGAAGCTTTAGAAAACAGTTGGCACCGCCGCTGTAGAAACGTTCTTCACTTGCCCATGGCTTGCATTGCTTGGCCCATTGGCATGGCTAGGAGCTTCGACAAGATCTATTGGGTCGTTTCGTGACCGTCTCTGGTTTAGTGGTCTGGGGACCAAGGCCTCCAGGCCGCCAGGCCACCACGGCCACAGACCAGACAGATCCAGACAGATCCAACTTTCGTTGTGGAAGTCTAGCTGACTTGAAATCTACTTTTGTTCGAAGACTGGTCAGACTGGTTGATCTTGTGGAACTTTGGAGCCGTGGTTTTTAACTATCTTGATAACCTCCTTATCCATCCATATTCATCATTTGAAGGAGTTTTTCCACGTTTTTCCTTGAAATCCTGAGGCTTCTCTGTTACTCGGACTGAGGCGAGCATGAGCTCGGCCAAAGTGGTTGAAGTGGAGAGGAATCTGCTGTGTGCATGCGGGGCCAGGAGCGGGCTTTCCCGAATTTTCCAGCGGTGGATAGTCACTGCCACAAGGTGGTGCCCCCAGTTATAAGTGGGTTTATAACACCCATTATCTATAGATAGATGTATGTATGATGATGTATGATGATGTATGTATCATGAACATAAACCCTAGTTTTGGAGTGATGAACCAACTTGGCTAGCTATGGGGCACCACCTTGCATAGTCGGGCAATGCGAAGTGGAGGATTAAAGATTTCTAGTTTCTTTGTCGATAATTAGTTGATATTGTGCTTGTTTTCGGACCGGTTCACTGTTTCGCTCGAGCATTCGAGCTCAAGTGGCTAGGTACACAATGCACACACAACCCATAGACGCGAATGGAAGCCAAGCGCCTGGATTTTGCCAAGGTGCGGTATCCGTATGGACACTGTTCGGAGAGCTTCGATGTGCTTTAAACTTTAGACTTTGTACCTTGCAATTTGCAATGATCGACCATCCTGTGGATTCTCGCCTCCACTACCTTGGGATCATTGTTGAAATATTTTGCGAAATATATTGTTGCCTTGGTGTTGCCTTTCCTCAGGCTGCGGTGGGGCTCCCAATTTCAAAGATCTGGGAGGCAGCGGCAGGTAAACATGATAACGTGGACAACGTGGCTCTAAAAACACCAATGAACTACAACGAACACATGACATACTTGTCCATGGTTTGAGTATTTTGGTTCCGGGACGTCACAGTGATCGGTTTGTGATGGTTTTGGGCCGGAGCGAAGTTAAGAAAGGGTGTAAACTCATGTCTTCCCAAATCAAATTCATTCAGCTGCAACAGAGTGTTATGCAAATTAAATCAAATCAACATGCGTAAACATGTGTAAGTGTTAAACAGTTTAAACACATATTTCTACAGGTCCCTTGATGTCCCTTGCCCTCCAACGTGTTGTGGCGGTTTGATGCTTTGACGCCCTGTGGCGCCTGTGGCCTGGCTCACACAGCTCACACAGCTCACACGGCTCACATCTCAAGCTGTCGTAGGTGGGACCATGATCGACTACCAAGAAATACGTCTGCAAGACATTGCTGGACTTCACTGCTTGGAACCCTGGGAACCCTGGAGGTCATGGTTTCGCTATGGAAAAGCCAAGGGAAGTGATATGAATCATTAAAGGACAAGATTAAAAAAAACACACACTTTATTTAATATCTTTATTATTCTTTATTTATCTATTAAATCTATTTATCTTTATTTCAAGGCACTCCATTGATGTTCAAGGCTTCAGGCATTTGACACGTCCGAGTCTGGTCAAGGCTCCCACGCCATTGTTGTCCTCACTGGTGAGTTAGTATCGTCTGCAGTGCCTGGTGATCTGGTGGTCGTTGGTGGCGCCCTCAGCATATTCCATTAGGCTCTAAGGCTCTAAGACTCTAAGTCCATACACATTCAAGGAATTTAAGGACAGCGATCCGAAATGATACGAATGTGTAACCATGTAACCAACACAGCACGAGTTCATGTATTTCACATCATTTCACATGACGTTCCTCATGATTGCTTTGTACAAGCCGATGGATAACTTGTGTGTGTCTGTCGATTCAGATTAGTATTGCAGATTTGCTACAGACTTTGCTCAACTGCGCCAAAGCCTGTTGCGTTCCAACTCCGTGAGATGCCATGGGGATCTGGGTGCGGTGCATGTGCCATGCTCTCAGGTGGGATGCTGAGAGCACGTTGGCCAAGTTGGGCCAGGGATTCGTCCAAGCGCCTTACGATGCAACTCGTCTTGGACGCCAGGGACTTGCGGCCGCTCCATGAGGCGCACCGGGCTTCAGTAACATGAACATAATATATTTTTCTGATAGTATGCATTATGCATACATTTATATTATATGTAATATATATATATCATTATGTATTCAATACTTAGATATTTGTTCGCAAAGATTTCGATGAGACTTGGCGGAGATTTCGATCCTAACATTTCCTGTCAAACTTGGCAAACTCATTCCTCATGCGGATCAGAGAATCGATCACTACGTTGAAGTGACAGTTTGCATTGACAATCATGCAATTGAGTGACAATGAGTAACAATTGATATGTACTCAGGTGACTCAGGTGTTCACTGTTCACAGCGCAGCGCTTCTGCACTTTGTCAGGCGCCGCCTCGCAGCTTGCTGCATCTGCCGCCAGCCGAGGATTGCTGGCGACAGCGCCGGCAGATGGTCATGTCAGTGGCACCACATTTACACGGCTTGGAGGCAGATCGACAAAGATGATCAAAGATGCCCTAGCTGCACTAGCAACTGATCACTAAGAGTAACCACTAAGAGTTGACTCTGCAGATGCACATCGATCTTTGAGACTCGGTAAAGCTCTCAGGCGAACTTTGCTCTCGGTGCTATGCAACTTTAAACTAGAATATCTAGATGACAAATTTGTTGCATCAAGCTGTTGCACCAATAAATCCCCATTCTTTCTGTGGCTGAACATGTCTCAGTCAAGTTTCCACTGTTTGACTCCGATCCTCAAAGCACGAGCTGACTACTGGAGCATGGGTAGCGGATGGTAGCAATGGTAGGTGTGCAGAGCGCGCTGTGCATCATGCCTAGCTGCCCTAGCTCTGCAGGTTCCAAAGCTCGCTGTGCTTTTAGCGCTACTTGCATCCAGTGAGAAAGACGAGACAAGGCGCATCACTGCCTTTGCCTGCCTTTCATTGCATTTCATTTTCCGCAATGAAGAGGTGCAGTGCGAAGCAGATTTGGAGGAAAAGAGTCATTGATTATTCCCAGCAGTCGTATTGCGTCAAAGTTTGAAGGTAGAGCCAGGCAGCCACAAAGAAAAGCTCACAACAGTGTTCTTTTTGACTCGACGTAAATCAACCGAATGAACCGAATGAACCAAAGCTCACTGCCACCTGTTCTGACGAGGTCTGATTCTAGAGCGCCAATGTGGCTTGGCAAAGCAATGCCTTGGTAAAATCGGTTTGTATTGATTTGGATCGATTTGCTAGCTATCTTGTAAGGACAAGTGCTTTCATCAAGGGTTCTACCACCAACTGCATCAGAACGTTTGTGCCCAGTACCAATAGGGTCATGTTCAAGTCAGAGTGACAACTAGCACTTCTTGCTAGCTCTTGTATGCTGCAACACGAGTTTTGTGTTGCATGCTTTTAAGGGTGTCACATTTGAAGAGCGACAGAACATAGCAGAACTCTCGGCCTGAACAAACTTTACTCTACTTCTAAGCAACGAAAATAGTAGCATTTATGTGTATTTCTGTGGTGTTTGTGTCGCAACGACACATTCCAGCGCTTAAATGAAACTGATTGCTGCACGGCTTAATGTGAAAAAAGGTGTCATCAATTGGCGAAGAATATGCAATAGAACACACAAATCAAACATCGATACATATCGATACTAAAGATTATATGCGTGATCAGATAGCTTACTTTCACCTGAGAACCCGCAGCAGCACTTTCTTGTCCAATAGATATTCAAGTTCCAGCTCTTCATCATGGATCTTGCCCAACATGTTGCATTGTCGATTCTCAGATACTTTCAGATACTTTCAACATCCAACCCACAGAGAGGCGACAGCATCCGCATTTGCTGCTGCTGGGAGATCCGGGGACAGGCAAGACACAGCTTCTTCAGGTGCCGGACTCGAAGGACTCGAAGGACTCGAAGGACTCGAAGGACTCGAAGGACTTCAATGACCTACTGTACGAGGTAGGTGAAATTAGGAGGCGAAGGTCATACGGAGTCATACGCCTCTGACTCTGCTTCGTAGTACTTCGTAGTCACGTAGTCCAAGTTAGACACTCCGGCCATCAAGTCATCGGGTCAACCGACAGTCAGCACACAGTGATTTGCATCTGCTTCCTATGGAACTTGGATGTCAAAACTTAACTCTGCTCGAGAATCAAACATATCTGAACAAACATTGCAAAGACTCAAATTTGTTTTTTTTGCATTTACATAGCCCAGTCAGTACACTGTTCTTTGCTACTCTCAACCACAATACTCCTTCTCTTGCTGAGCTCTCTCTCTCTCTCTGCCTCTCTGCCTCTCTGCCTCTCTGCCTCTCTGTCTCTCTGTCTCTCTGTCTCTCTGCCTCTCTGTCTCTCTGTCTCTCTGTCTCTCTGTCTCTCTGTCTCTCTGTCTCTCTGTCTCTCTGTCTCTCTGTCTCTCTCTCTCTCTCTCTCTCTGCACTCTCGTTGGACTCTGCAACTGAGCCATTTGGCTGCCAGTGCCCTAGAAACAAACCTAAAGAAATCCAGCTTACACCTTGACCAACAACTCTTTGCAAAGCGATGCAAAGCACTATTCATCGCTGACTGTTTAGTCCCCAGGACCATGGAACGATTTTTTGGATTTTTTAAACAAGGAAAACCATATTTTCTGATACTTTCCGCAAAGCCCAAAACAGTCAACGTTCCAGGAAGTTCCCTGAAACAGAAACCATTCGAAACAACAGCACAGCTTTGGCACCACGTTCTCGCTGCGCGCACACTTGAAAATCAGTGTGCCATGCGCCGCGTGCGAAGCGCAGTGCTTGGGATCGGCGCAGGAGTCTGAGCACTCAGAGATTTTCGAGGGTTCAGAGCAGAGATTCAGATGGAGCACTTTATTAGTGTACTTCAGCGCATGTCATTTGTACCTCAAACATCCTCAAAGATATTCGAACCTTATTCAGGCTTTACTTTGTGTTAATTCATATTCAAATATTCAATCATTTTCTATTTGAATTAGTTTAATATTTTTTAAAACTATTGTTCAATTCAAGTGTATTGTTCCCAAGGTTTTCAACATTTTTCAGCGATCTAAATTGAGATGATCCAAGGGGCTCCTTTGTGGCTGGCGCAGCCTGTCAAATCCCACTAAATCAGTCTGATGTCATTGTTGACTCCGTGAGAAAAACAAGCTAAACCTCAGTGAGAAACATCGATTGTTGGTTCCAGCTGAAGATGGGCTCTTCCGCCTTTCTCGTCTTTGCATTGAAGTGACTTGTCAAAGATGTCAAAGTGAAGTAGAAATGGTACCAGTGCTGCTATGCAAATATCCTTTGGATATCTTTGGATGACATTTAAATCATTTGATCCAAGGTCGTGGCAGGCTTCGCCCCAGGCTTCGCCCCAGGCTTCGCCCCAGGCGCGGAAGGAAAACCTCCGAGAGCATACGACAGCATGGCAGCACTTTGCAGCACACTGCCTTCCAGCACTGGCTAGGCCTTTTGTGAACAATGATTCAATGTGAACTACATTCTATCCATTCAATACGGAGCTAATCATTTCAGACTTTGCCATTTTTCTCAGATTTTCTTCTTTGCTCTGTAGCTTTTCTGCTTTAGTTCAGTAACTATTGTTGCATCGCTTCGCCTTTCCTATTTTTTTGGGCTGGCTTCTCTCCCAAAAATACGCCTGACAGGTTTTGTGAGGGGCAACGGCAAATGCGGTGGCACCCAGGATAGCAGCGTTCACCTCAGACTCTGATGTTCCTTGAATCCATCTGCATGTCGTTTAAACATGTTTATACATTTATAAATCCGTTGTAAGTCATTAGTAAGTCATCTGTACTTCGTCATTTGTCTGATTTTCAAGCATAGCCAGGCCGTTTTTCTCCATCCGGCGTTAAACAGCAATTTGGCCCCGGTTCGAAGACTCGGAAACCATGCCGCGAGAACCTTTGCTGTCAATGTCGCCAAAAGCCGCAGACTCATGGAGTCTATGGAGTCTTGGCTTCAGAAAGTTGAACGCCGAGGAAGTTTTGAGTTTTGTCTTCCTCAATGTTATCACAGAGCAGACATATTGCCTGGAAAACCTGTGCTCAAAAATGCTGTGCGTTCCGAAGGTTGGCAGCGAGAGATTCATAATTATCAAGTAGGCTTCAGCGAATTCCAATGACATAAGTAGTAGAACTCCGGTTGAGCACCCAACAGCTTGTCTGGCTGCAGGACACTGTTTGGTAACAATTGCAGTTCTTGCCACTTTGAATGCTTGAAATTTCCAAGAAATGCGGGAGCAATGCAATGGGTGTGCGATGACAGCAGCGTAAAAAGCAAGGCGTGCGCACCCCGCTCCACCTAACACCAATCCCGACCAGCAACTCCCTCAACTCCATATGGCAGTAGCGAAGCAGCCTGATGTAACGGGATGTATGATGTATGTTTTCTGTACTGTACAGCCGTACACACCCGTACGCCGTCCAATACCTGGCACCCAGGACGTCTTGCCGAGAGACGAAGTACCAGTCGACAGCCTCCAGTGCCTCGCATACTGGAATTTCAGCATCCAAAGAAAACCAAGGTGCGGTGCTTTGATGTGCTTTGGTGGACCGGATATCGAGCACAGAATCTCATAGATTCTCATGGTAAATCTGAAGTTCCATTTCTATTCATCGATTCATCAACGTCGCTTTCATCGATGTGCTGTGTCTCTGCATGTCGTCACAGGAATGCCGGGTTTGTGCTCCGCCAGGTACAGATCTCCATGGGAAGTCTGTGCTGGACACAAAACTTGGGAATCTTTTTCCAACACAAAGGCTGCATGAGCTTCTCGATGCCGATTGCATGCCAGAGGACCAACTCTTGTTGGTTTTTGCATCGTTTTGTGTCATTTTGTGTCATTCTGTGTCTTTTTTTATTCTTGATTTCTTTTTAGTCTCTGCGTCTCTTTGCTTTGGTTTTCTTGCTCAGATCTTTGCTCAACAGGACAGCGTCGACACCCAGGACGAGGACCGCGTCAGAGACAGCGTGCCGTTGACCCCCTGCCCAACGGTGTGCACCATGAGCACCTCGTCCATGGCGTCCGGTGTGGGTTCCCTGCCCTATTCGCTGTCAGACCTTGCGGACCTTGACGAGCCGCCAGAAAAGAGGTCGGTGCAGTCACAAAGACTTAACAAAGAATTAACAAAGCACAGGCACTTTGAAACTAGTTCGAAGCGTCGACACCCAGGACGAGGACCGCGTCAGAGACAGCGTGCCGTTGACCCCCTGCCCAACGGTGTGCACCATGAGCACCTCGTCCATGGCGTCCGGTGTGGGTTCCCTGCCCTATTCGCTGTCAGACCTTGCGGACCTTGACGAGCCGCCAGAAAAGAGGTCGGTGCAGTCACAAAGACTTAACAAAGAATTAACAAAGCACAGGCACTTTGAAACTAGTTCGAACATGACGAAAGTCACATCTCAGGTCATGGAAGTACCAGTTCGACCTGGGCATGCGACGATTATTGTTTCCAATCTTTTGTCACGAACGCTAGCTTTGTTTTCCCATTCACATCTTTTGCCCAGATGGCCCAAATTCCTCAAAACTGCGTATTCATTGATACCAGCTGCCCACGCACGGCAAACCGAAACAAAAAGCATAATGAATCCATCTTTAAGTTCTATTGCTATCTATTAGAAGCTGTGCGCATCGGCGCAGGCTTTCAGCTTTTTCGTCCTTTAAGAGCTATCTCGAACATACGTTGAAGCGAAGGCCGGAATGCCAAGAATAGCACAGTTTTCAGAGAGAGAGAGAGGGATTCAGCACGAGAACAAGTTGATGCTGGGTTTGATCGCAGATGAGTCTCCATTCCCCACCATTCTCAGTATTCCCATGTCCAGTTTGCAAAAGCCTTTAAGATATACATAGATTTACCATGCCAGTTGTGTTGACTTCAAGCTTTCGCCTGCCAACTTGCTTTCCGCTAAGGTCTTGAGTCCCAATGCTCCACCAAAGCAGGGCATGGTCGAGCATGTCTTCTGGCGAAGAGTTGGAAAATGTTGGAGGAATTGAAGCAGCTTTCTGAAGCAGATTCCCGTGCCCTTTTGATACAGCCGAGTTGAAAGAGTTGAAAAACACAAAGTTGAACATGTTAATGATATCTTTAGAACACATATCTTTCTTATATTTATAATATATCAGATAAAACCATACAAAACTCAACAATTATTGACATATTATGTTATACAATAACAACATTTCGGCAAGACCCTCAGGTTTGCCCGGACTCGCAACGAGCGTCCGGGCAAGCCAAAATGAAAATGATGATGATGATGATTTTGATATCTTCTTGAAACCCTATAAGAAACCCTAGTGACTGTATTGTTAATTCCATATGATATGAAGCGACATGTTCTGATTTTATGATTTGTAGAAGCAACATCTTCTGACTAGCACCCTAGCAACATAATTGAACATAAAATCCTTCCCGTTGTTTGACGTCGCACAGACTTCCCTGGTATTTACGCTATTCTGGGTTTGGGCAAACCTCGGGGTCTGTGTGCAATAGAATATTATATAATGATATTATATTATATAATGATATTATATTATATAATGATATTATATTATATAATGATATTATATTATATAATGATATTATATTATATAATGATATTATATTATATAATGATATTATATTATATAATGATATTATATTATATAATGATATTATATTATATAATGATATTATATTATATAATGATATTATATTTTATAATGATATTATATTATATAGTGATATTATATTATATAATGATATTATATTATATTATATTATATTATATAACAATATTATATTATATAATCATATATTAATATTATAGTACATAATAATATTATAGTACATAATAATATCATATTGTATAATAATATCATATTGTATTTTATTTTTCATGACATATAATATTATACAATACATGCATAGTTGTCGCGGTGGCAATTCTGGCGTTAATCCTGTTACTTATCAAACTCAATGTTGGCAATCCATTGTCTGAAGTCCTGGATTCAAGCCCAACTTTGTTGCCTGGTGGCCTACCCGGCCTGTTCAACTCGAATCCAGTCCTACCTTGATCCAGGGTTTTTATTGTGCTCTGAACACTTTGGAGTTGATTTTTCAGGACTTTCGCCTCAACTACCAGCACTTTGAAGATTGGCACCGGAAAAACGTGGGCAGTTGGTCCAAGCCCGAAGGGAAAGTCAGCCAAAGGAGATCTACAAAGCCTTGCGGCCAGACGGCCCTGAGCCATTGGATTTTCATGTCACCAAGCATGCATATCACGTTCTTGCAGTTGACCCTCATACTGGAGCTGCCCTCTTGGATGCGAACGTCGAGTCCTTTGCGGGCTCTTGGACTTTGAATGGCGAGTGGATCTCACCCGTGCGCAGCCTGGATTTTGGATTTGTAGCTGCCAATCGAACCTGGTGTCTTTCTGAGTCTGGCTGCATCCCTGTCCCTGGTCACACCCTCCGATGTACCGCCGTGTTGGTCACTGATGTTCCTGCCATTCATGCCACGCTGTTGGACTTTTGGCGTCCCAGATGGCAAGCTATGGCTGATGTTCCTCAAGATGCTTGGGACCGAATTGTCCAGTTCACTCAGGCCTTTGTTCCCCGTGGTTTGATTCGTGCTGCCAATTTTGGACTTTCTGACTTTTGTGCTGCCTTCCGAAAGGGCTCTGCTTTGCGGACTGGGGGCCCTGATGGATGGCACAAGGCTGACATCCTTGCATTGCCTGACTGCGTCTTTCGGGAAGTGATCAGAACATGAATGGGAGTGGCCTCAACAACTTGTGAGAGGACATGTTTTCTGTTTGCAAAAGGCTAAGAATGCGTTTGAGCCTGCCAACTACAGACTGGTGGTGCTGTTCTCGATTTGGTATCGACTTTGGAGTTCAATGCAATCCAGGCACTACTTTACACAGCTTGAGAGACTTGCCAATTTCCCGGCCTTTGGTTTCCTCACTGGCAGAGGTTGTAGTGACTTGACTTATGCTGTTCAGGTGCCCATTGAAGAAGCGTTGGGTCAACGCCGTGATCTCTGTGGTGGCTTGACATTGAAAAGCGTTTTAACTTATACCCAGGAGTCCGGTGATGTTCTTGGCCCGTTGGTTTGGCGGACTCCTTTCCTCCGTCAAATGCACCGTGCTTTTCTGGTGCGACATGAACCCAGTGACGCAGTGCATTCTTCCTGTGGTCTACCCGGAGGAGATGGACATAGCTGTGTGGGCATGATCCTCTTGGACTTTAGTTTCCATCTCTACATGCAGCACTTCCAACCCGGGATCAACGAACTCTCTTTCGTTGATAGCCTTCAGCTCATATCCACATGCCCTGGTGGACTCACAGCTGGCGTTGGCACTCTTGAAACATGGGCTGACTTGTTCCGACTTAGAATCGATTCTCGCAAGACGCAGTACTGGGCGCTGAAATCTCAACATCGCCAGCTGTTACTATCCTTTGGTCTTCCTGTTGTTGAATGTACTTCCGACCTGGGGGCCACCATGCAGTATAGTGCCAAACATCTCAACCGACCTTTTCAGCAGCGTATCTTGCAGCCACTCCCATTTTGGACTAAGCTCCGCAAGTTGTCCCTGTCTCCTTGGTTCAAACTTCTTGCAATCAAGGTGGCATTGCTCCCCCGTGCTCTACATGCCTCTTGTTCTGTTTTCCTTGGAGATTCTTGGTTTGTCAAGTTGAGGACACAGGTCATGCGTGCGACGCGTGTGTCACGTGCTGGAGCTAATCCAATTTTTTGCGAGCGGCCTTCATGTTTGGTGCTGATGTGGATCCTGGTTTTCATGATGCTTGGAACTCTTTTGGGATGTTTCTTCACTACTACCAGACCAACTTTGAGATCCGGGAGATATGGACACGTTTTGTTCAAACCCCTGGTGCCAGACGAGCACATGGGCCCTTTGCAAAGCTGCTGAAGTTGTACCGGAATTTGAGCTGGAGCTTACCCACTGCTCATACTTTGCAAATGGGGCCTAACTTTCACGTGGACCTTTCTTGGATTGACTTGAAAGTGGCAAAACAGTTGCTCACCTATTACTGAAAGCAGATGATGGTTGCACCTGTGGCGAAAAGGAAAGACTATCATGACCCATGTGGCATCAACGAGCAGGCCTCTTTCTTTCACATGAAAAGCTTCGACCATGCGACTTCTGAGCTGTTAAACTGCATTCGGGGCCAGCTTTTTAAACTCAATGAAAGCAAAATTTGATCCTGGGGTTAGCTCACTTTGTGGGTGTGGCCTTAATGAAGACTCCATTGAACATCGTGCTCTGGTTTGCCCTTTGTTCCAGGGGAGTTGGATGTGTCATCTTGATGTGGTACGAATGTGGTTTTTCGCTGCCTACTTGTATGACCCATCATGGCTTAGGGCCAGCCAACATTTGGCAAATTCAATTTTGGGCTACCTTTAGCACAACAACATGGGATGCTCGTCCTGGGCCGGCGGATCACCCCCCGCAGGTATTCAGTTTTTGTTCATTGACGGATCTTGCAGTGATCCCTCTCACAAGTCCCAAGCGGTGGGAGGTTGGAGCGTGGTTTCTTCCAACATTGGACAAGTGGTGGGGGCAGGACTTTTGCCCACCATCTTTCATGACAGTGACCGTTGTGAAGTTTGGGCCTGCGCAATGGCCTTACAATGGTTGATATACTGGGGCTGTCACGCTGCATATATTCTGGAAGGCTGTGTCATCCTACAGCAATGCTTGACGATACCTGCTGACTGGTGTAACAAAGATCTTCGGGAATATGTGTTACAAGGCTTGCTCAGATACACTGGAACTCTTCACCTGAAAAAGGTAGGAGCCCACCAAGTCTTGCATGATGCCCAGTCTGATGAAGAGGCTTTTTGTACTCGATGGAACTCAGTTGCGGATACGCCAGCAAAGACTGCACGTGTCACTGGGATGTCCATGACACTCATAGTTGGCAATGTTATTGGTCTGCTAGATGTCAAGAATTTTTGCAAGCTTTGGCTGTTGATTCTGTTGGCAACACCACTGACAACTGGGACTCTTCCATGGATGAGCCCATGGATACTGAATTCAATGATTTTGTTTCAAACCATGACGAATTTGCGGAATCTTTTCCTGTGGACTGGAAGACTGCCATTGGTTCCAATGCCTTTTTACAAGACTTTGGTGGTGCCACCGCTGTTTCTTTTGCGCAGTGGCTTTTAGATCAAAGTCACACTTCCCAGTATATATGTACAGACTGTTGCATTTCTGGAGTTATTTATTGGCTTTCATTTTGAAGTTGGGAATCAATTTGCCTGTTCGGGTTGGTTTGGGTCGTCGTCAAAACAAATGGCTCCAGATAACCAACACTAATGCGGGGACTTTACTTGGCCGGTCATTCGGATTGCAGATTCAAGTTCTTGAATGGCTTGTTGGTGTCATATTTGAGAATCACCTTGATTGTGCTTTTGACGTGGTTCACATTGCTAAACCAGAACCTGCATTTTTTTTTGCCTCCCAACAGCATTTCTCTTCCTTGGTCACATGGTACAGCGACCATAGTCCAGTCCCGTCTGACTGGCATGAGTCGGCCTTTTAGGTTCAATCGTGACCTAGCGAGAGCATTCCATTGAGTGCTCTGCCATTTGGGCTCTTTTGTTTAGTACCGCTACTTTTTCTATACGGCTCCGACACAAGGTCTGAGCCTGTAGAAGTGGAGATGGCCCTCTGCATGGCGCAGTAATGATATTATAATATGTTATATTAATTTCTATCATGTTATAAGTTGTATTTTTTGAGCATTAAGATTTATTATGATATATATTTTTATATAGTATGTCATGTATAGTATATCATGTATCTTGTATATCATTTTTAATTATATTGTATTATAATATATTTAATTATATTAAATTATATTGTACTATATTATATTTCATTATACTATATTAAATTTTTTATTTTA